AGAATAGAACAGAAAATAAGAGAACAGAATAGAAAAACAATTGCATAGAATAGAATAAAATAGAATATAACCGTCTTTCAAATGCCGATTTGCTTGCCAAATATTACAGATGATGCGGGGGGGGGGGGGGGGGGTGACAGTCACATAATACACATGATGGGGGGGGGGGGTTGCAGGCACATAATACGGATGATATGGGGGGGGGTGAAAGTTACATATTACACATGATGGGGGGGTTACAGGCACATAATACGGATGATATGGGGGGGTGAAAGTTACATATTACACATGATGGGGGGGGTTACAGGCACATAATACGGATGATATGGGGGGGTGAAAGTTACATATTACAGATGATGGGGGGGGGGGTGACAGTCACATAATACAGATGATGGGGGGGGGGTGGAAGTTACATATTACACATGATGGGGGGGGGGGGTTACAGGCACATAATACGGATGATATGGGGGGGGGTGAAAGTAACATATTACACATGATGGGGGGGTTACAGGCAACATAATACAGATGATGGGGGGGGGTTACAGTCACATAATACAGATGATGGGGGGGGGTTACAGTGACATTATACAGATGATATGGCGGGGGGGGGGTGACAGTCACACAATACAGATGATATGGCGGGGGGGGGGGGGGGGGGGGAAGTTACATATTACTGATGATATGGGGGGGGGGGGGGTGACAGACACATAATACAGATGATATGGGGGGGGGGGGGGGGTGAAAGTTACATAATACAGATGATATGGGGGGGGGGGGGTGAAAGTTACATAATACAGATGATATGGGGGGGGGGGTGTGAAAGTTACATAATACAGATGATATGGTGAGGGGGGGGGGGGGGGGGGTGATTTATGGTGGGGGGGGTTACATAATACAGATGATATGGTTAGGGGGGGGGGGGGGGGTGAAAGTTACATAATACAGATGATATGGGGGGGGGGTGGAAAGTTACATAATCACAGATGATATGGGGGGGGTGTGAAAGTTACATAATACAGATGTTGGGAGGGGGAGTGACAGTCATAATACAGATGATATGGGGGGGGTGAAAGTTACATATTACAGTTGATTGGGGGGGGGGGGGGGTTTACAGTCACATAATACAGATGATATGGGGGGGGGGTGAAAGTTACATATTACAGATGACAAGAGGGGGAGTGACAGTCATAATACAGATGATATGGGAGAGGGTGAAAGTTACATATTACAGATAATGGGGGGGGGGGGGGAGAGTGGGGGAAATTTCATATTACAGATGGAGGGGGGGGGGGGGTGACAGTCACATATTATTATTACTATTACTATATGACTGTCACCCCCCCATCATCTGTGTTGTGTGACTGTTACCCCCCTCCATCTGTAATATGTAAAATCCCCCCCCATCATCATCTCTGTAATATGTGACTGTCACCCCCCCCATCATCTGTAATATGTGACTGTCACCCCCCCCATCATCATCATCTGTAATATGTGACTGTCACCCCCCCCCATCATCTCTAATATGTGACTGTCACCCCCCCCCCATCATCTCTAATATGCGACTGTCACCCCCCCATCATCTCTAATATGTGACTGTCACATTGGGGTGCTCGTTTCAGTTTCCTCCATCTGTCTACACTTCAGGATCCCCCCCCCCCCTGATGATGCTTTATATTCTAAGGACTTGTTACTACTGTATAGAGTCCTGGACCCTCCCCTCACTGATACTTTGTACTCTAAGAATGTGTTACTCTAGAATCCCGGCTGCCCCTCCCGATTGGTAGGCTGAATTTTTTGGATTTGTTACTTTGTAAAGAATTCTAGATGTTCCTTCTTTAAGGATTTCCAAGGATTTGATACATTGTATTAGGGGCAGCACAATGGCTAAATGGTTAGACCTTCCATCTGGCAGTACTCGGGTCGTTGGTTCGAATCCCAGCCATGGCACCACCTGCCTGGAGTTTGCATGTTCTCCCTGTGCCTGCGTGGGTTTCCTCTGGTTTCCTTCCACACTCCAAAGACATGCTGGAGGTTAATTGGCTCCTGTCTGCATTTGCCCTAGTATGTGTATGTATGAATGTGAGTTAGGGCCCTTAGATTGTACACCCCTTGAGGGATAGGGCCCTTAGATTGTACGCCCCTTGAGGGCTAGGGACCTTAGATTGTACGCCCCTTGAGGGCAGGGACTGATGTGAATGTACAATATATATGGAAAGCGCGGAGTAAGTTGATGGTGTTATATAAGTACCTGAAATAAATAACTACATTCTAGATGTCTCCCATTGATACTTTATATTCTAAGGATTTGTTACATTGTTTAGAATTCTAGATCTTCCTCCTATTGGTACTTTGGGGTAAATTTACTAAAAAACTGGGTTCAAAATCTGGTGCAGCTGTACACGGGAGCCAATCAGCTTCCAGCTTTTACTGTCTGAGCTTAATTGAACAAGCTGAAGTGAGAAGCTGATTGGCTCCCATTCATGGCTGCACCACATTCTGAGCGCTCCAGCTTTACTAAATAAAACCCTTTTGTATTGTAAGGATTTGATACATTGTACAGAACTCCGGATCTTCCTCCATTGATACATTGTATTGTACGGATTGGTTACATTGTATTGTAAGGATTTGATACATTGTATTGTAAGGATTTGATACATTGTATTGTAAGGATTGGATACATTGTACAGAACTCCGGATCTTCCCTCCATTGATACATTGTATTGTAAGGATTGGTTAATTGTATTGTAAGGATTTGATACATTGTATTGTACGGATTGGTTACATTGTATTGTAAGGATTTGATACATTGTATTGTATGGATTGGTTACATTGTATTGTACGGATTGGTTACATTGTACAGAACTCCGGATCTCCCTCCATTGATACATTGTATTGTACGGATTGGTTAATTGTATTGTAAGGATTTGATACATTGTATTGTAAGGATTTGATACATTGTATTGTACGGATTGGTTACATTGTATTGTAAGGATTTGATACATTGTATTGTACGGATTGGTTACATTGTATTGTAAGGATTTGATACATTGTATTGTACGGATTGGTTACATTGTATTGTAAGGATTTGATACATTGTATTGTACGGATTGGTTACATTGTACAGAACTCCGGATCTCCCTCCATTGATACATTGTATTGTACGGATTGGTTACATTGTACAGAACTCCGGATCTCCCTCCATTGATACATTGTATTGTACGGATTGGTTACATTGTATTGTACGGATTGGTTACATTGTACAGAACTCCGGATCTCCCTCCATTGATACATTGTATTGTACGGATTGGTTTCAATGATCGGCCCCCTTTTCTCCGTGTTGGTCGGTGTGACCTTCCCGTGGTATGGGGGGGGGGGTCATGTGACTGTCCATGCTGTGCCCCCCCCCCCCCGGTGGATAACGCAGTGCGGCACTCTGCAGACGCGTCCAGGAATCGGCTTCTCCCGTCTCTGCCACAGGCGGCCGTCACCTCCACAATTCCACGTTTTCTTTCCTCCCCTCCGCCCAGCCGCCCTCTGATCCTCCATCATCCCCCCCCACCACCACCACACTCCCCTCCCCCCTCTGCTCTCCCCTCCTCCCTCCTTCTTCTCCACAAACACGCCATTAACCCCTCACCCTCCTCCCCCCTGACACAATGTAACCACACATGTAGGAAGAAGAGCTTGCAATCTAATCCTAGGGAGCACATGGCACTAGTGCGGCAGCCTGCATTCACCCCCACCCTCCCTTGGCTGCTTTGTTTGCAGCTTCCCCCTCCTTCCTGAGTCCCTCCCGTCTCTTCCCCCCTCCCTCTCTCCCCCTATTATTGTGTGCGCCCCCCCCTGCCTCCTCCCCTTCCCCCCATGCCTCCTCCCTTCCCCCTCCCTCCTGCCGCTCAGAGACAGACGCACCACACAGGGGAGGAAATAGGGGCGAGAGAGACACCCAGGAAGAGGATAGGGGTCACCCAGAGACAGCCAGGCCTGCAGGGAATAAGAGACACCAGGGGCAATTAGGGAGACAGCAACCCTGAGAGACAGCAGAGGGAGAGACAGCTGGGACAATAGGAGAGACAGCTGGGACAATAGGAGAGACAGCTGGGACAATAGGAGAGACAGCTGGGACAATAGGAGAGACAGCTGGGACAATAGGAGAGACAGCTGGGTCAGTTGGGAGCAGAGGAGACAGACAGCAGAGAAAACCAGAGGGGGTAGAGTAATCTGGGTCAATAGGAGAGACAGCTGGGAGCAGAGGGGACTAAGAGACAGCCACTGGGGTAGAGACATCTGGGGTAATAGGAAAGAAAGGAGGGCTGAGAGACAGCAAAGACAGCCATTGGGATAGGGACTAAGAGACAGCACAGATTGAGGGATAGAAAGACCTGGGACAAAGGAGAGAGACAGAGAAGACAAAGAGACAGCAACCCTGAGAGACAGAAGGAGCACAGAGAGATTTCAGAGAGACATCAGCTCTGCAGAGAGACAGGTGGTTCAGATACTGGAGAGGGTAAGTCAGAGTTCAGAGAGACTTCAGAGTTGTAGAGAGACAGTCAAAGTTTTGGGGGAGACTTCAGAGAGACAGCCAGAGTTCCAGGAGACTTGAGAGATACTTTAGAGAGAACTTGAGGGAGACTTGAGAGAGACGGTCAGGGTTCCTGCAGACTTCAGAGTCATAGAGAGACAGTCAGAGTTCCGGGGGGGACTTCAGAGAGACAGTCAGTTCCGGGAGAGTTCAGAGAGACGGTCAGGGTTCCTGCAGACTTCAGAGTCATAGAGAGACAGTCAGAGTTCAGAGAGACAGTCAGTTCCGGGAGAGTTCAGAGAGACAGTCAGAGTTCCGGGAGAGTTCAGAGAGACATTCAGAGTTCCGGGAGACAGTGTGAGCCACAGAGACGCTCACAGAGATAGCTCAGTTGGAGACCCCCTAGTCCTAGAGACAGTCAGTGTGACCGTCTGAGGCCGAGCCGGACAGTCTGACTTAGGAGCCCCAAGCTGCAGCAATGGCCACCAGCCCCACTCCATTGCCCCTTCTGCCCTCCCTGAGCTGTGTCATGTGCCACGATGTGCCCCGCGAGCCCGTCACCATGTCTTGTGGGCACTGCCTGTGCAGGGGATGCTTGGAGCGATCTTGGAGGGGGCAGGAGGCTTACCCGTCGTGCCCAAAATGTCGCCCACCGCCGGTGCAGTCCCCAGATGGTGGGCAGAGGAACGTGTGTGCAGATCACGGCGAAAAGGTTCAGTTTTTTTCCACCCAAGACAGCAGACTCCTGTGCCCCCGCTGCAGAGCGTCCGCCGAGCCACTGCCTGGGCATACACTAATCCCCATACAGGAGGCCGTGGGGGGATACAAGGTGAGTCTACGTGTGCCATACACGCCCCACATGTATGTAGAGACATAACTCTACATGTATACTTCACACCAAACATGAGTAGGAGGTTCCACATTTTATATCAAGAGAGATGATTGGTACGGAGGACTGCGCTCCGCCTCGTACCATCGCCCTGTAACCTAGAAATGGTATTTATTTATTCTCTTTCCAACAGGAGGAGTTGATGTCCGCTATCGCCCCCCTGGAGTCCCGCCTGAAGGAACTGCAGCAGATGCAGTGCGCCCAGGAGCAGATGATCGCCCAGCAGCACCGGGTACGTTGTTTTCTGTCCTCCAACATCTAAATGGGTGAACAACCATCCATCTATGGCAGCCTTTCCTGACCCTTTTTACCCCCGAGGAAACCCTTGAAGTCATTTTTAGAAGTTTCTGCCCCTGCTGAGAAAAATTCATTGGGGTCAGTGAACAAAAATGGCCCATACATTGGTGGTCAGTGGGAAGAATGGCCCATACATTGGTGGTCAGTGGGAAGAATGGCCCATGCATTGGTGGTCAGTGGGAAGAATGGCCCATGCATTGGTGGTCAGTGGGAAGAATGGCCCATGCATTGGTGGTCAGTGGGAAGAATGGCCCATGCATTGGTGGTCAGTGGGAAGAATGGCCCATGCATTGGTGGTCAGTGGGAAGAATGGCCCATGCATTGGTGGTCAGTGGGAAGAATGGCCCATGCATTGGTGGTCAGTGGGAAGAATGGCCCATGCATTGGTGGTCAGTGGGAAGAATGGCCCATGCATTGGTGGTCAGTGGGAAGAATGGCCCATGCATTGGTGGTCAGTGGGAAGAATGGCCCATGCATTGGTGGTCAGTGGGAAGACTGGCCCATGCATTGGTGTTCAGTGGGAAGACTGGCCCATGCATTGGTGGTCAGTGGGAAGACTGGCCCATGCATTGGTGGTCAGTGGGAAGACTGGCCCATGCATTGGTGGTCAGTGGGAAGACTGGCCCATGCATTGGTGGTCAGTGGGAAGACTGGCCCATGCATTGGTGGTCAGTGGGAAGACTGGCCCATGCATTGGTGGTCAGTGGGAAGACTGGCCCATGCATTGGTGGTCAGTGGGAAGACTGGCCCATGCATTGGTGGTCAGTGGGAAGACTGGCCCATGCATTGGTGGTCAGTGGGAAGACTGGCCCATGCATTGGTGGTCAGTGGGAAGACTGGCCCCTTACCGACAGCTAAAAAATATCATTACACTGGCTCTGCCAAGTGCAAGAATTGTGTAGGCACTAGAAAGGCCACCAGCAAGAGGAAGGAGGTCCTGATTCCTCTATATAGATCTTTATATCACTAGCGGGGTCACCGGCAGGAGGAAGGAGGTCCTGATCCCTCTATATAGATCTTTTATATCACTAGAGGGGTCACCAGCAGGAGGAAGGAGGTCATAATCCCTCTATATAGATCTTTATATCACTAGAGGGGTCACCAGCAGGAGGAAGGAGGTCCTATTCCTCTATATAGATCTTTATATCACTAGAGGGGTCACCGGCAGGAGGAAGGAGGTCCTAATCCCTCTATATAGATCCTATTACTAGAGGGGTCACCAGCAGGAGGAAGGAGGGTCCTAATCCCTCTATATAGATCCTATTACTAGAGGGGTCACCAGCAGGAGGAAGGAGGTCCCGATTCCTCTATATAGATCTTTATATCACTAGAGGGGTCACCAGGAGGAGGAAGGAGGTCCCGATTCCTCTATATAGATCCTTATATCACTAGAGGGGTCACCGTCAGGAGGAAGGCGGTCCCGATCCCTCTATATAGATCTTTATATCACTAGCAGGGTCACCGTCAGGAGGAAGGAGGTCCTGATTCCTCTATATAGATCTTTATATCACTAGAGGGGTCACCAGGAGGAGGAAGGAGGTCCCGATTCCTCTATATAGATCCTTATATCACTAGAGGGGTCACCGGCAGGAGGAAGGAGGTCCTGATTCCTCTATATAGGAACAGGAAATTAAGATAAATATCCCTAATAATACATAGATGGAGAAATACTAAGATCAATTTCATCCATTCTCTACTTTATTGTGTTGCCTTCAGAAATCCCGTATGACACCCATCTCAGCCAGGGCTTCTCCAGAGGTGGCTGGGCTTGAGTTGTGGCTGAATGTCCTCCAGTGTGATGGTGCCGGCATAGTCCTAGGTCTCTTGCCACGTGACAGAGCCAGCTGCGTGACACCAATGTTCCTTTTAGTGATTTCTAAGGGTGGCATTCTTACCGGCACAATGCACACGTGCCACACTGGCCATCAATGTAGGCTGCACTTCTCCAATAGACCACCCAATAAACTGCGGTTGGAAGGGGTTTCCAAAGACCTAAGATTTGTTGTAATGGGTATCCTGGGGTGAAGCCGTAGAGAAGGACCATGGTAAGGTGTCATGGCGACATATTTGAATTATGGTCTTCACAGTGCCAGTTGTTTGGTTGTTGCAGCGCTCTCATAATAAAGGCTGGCTCCGGTAATGGTGTGTGATAGGAACACACCGATGGACCATCTATGTGGGACTGGACCAGGATGGGTCCACCAGGACATAGGATATGAGACCAGCTGGCAGTCCTGCATGACGCTATGTGACCTGTGACCTGTTTGTCTTTCAGGGGAACCTCCTGAGCACCAAGCACCATGTCAGTATGGAGTTCGAGAAGCTGCACCAGTTCCTGCGGGAGAGAGAAGAGAGACTGCTGAGGGACCTGCAACAAGAAGGAGACCTCATCCTGGCCGAGATGGAGGAAAGTCTCAGCAAAATCAAACAGAACTGTCAGGGGATCCTACAGACCATCAGTAGCACCCAACCACGGCTGTACGAGCAGGACTCTGTCTCCTTCCTGACTGTGAGTATACTCCACCCATAGCTGTAATTTGTCTCCTTCCTGACTGTGAGTATACTCCACCCATATGGTACCCGGTCACCTTCCTTAGTGTGAGTATACTCCACCCATAGCTGTACCCGGTCTCCTTCCTCAGTGTGAGTATACTCCACCCATAGCTGTACCCAGTCTCCTTCCTCAGTGTGAGTATACTCCACCCATAGCTGTACCCAGTCTCCTTCCTCAGTGTGAGTATACGCCACCCATAGCTGTACCCGGTCTCCTTCCTGGGTGTGAGTATACTCCACCCATAGCTGTACCCGGTCTCCTTCCTGGGTGTGAGTATACTCCACCAATAGCTGTAATTTGTCTTCTTCCTGACTGTGAGTATACTCCACCCATATGGTACCCAGTCTCCTTCCTCAGTGTGAGTATACTCCACCCATAGCTGTACCCGGTCTCCTTCCTGGGTGTGAGTATACTCCACCCATAGCTGTACCCAGTCTCCTTCCTGAGTGTGAGTATACTCCACCCATAGCTGTACCCAGTCTCCTTCCTGGGTGTGAGTATACTCCACCCATAGCTGTACCCGGTCTCCTTCCTGAGTGTGAGTATACTCCACCCATAGCTGTACCCGGTCTCCTTCCTGGGTGTGAGTATACTCCACCCATAGCTGTACCCGGCCTCCTTCCTGAGTGTGAGTATACTCCACCCATAGCTGTACCCGGTCTCCTTCCTGGGTGTGAGTATACTCCACCCATAGCTGTAGCCGGTCTCCTTCAGTGTGAGTATACTCCACCCATAGCTGTACCCGGTCTCCTTCCTGAGTGTGAGTATACTCCACCCATAGCTGTACCCGGTCTCCTTCCTGGAGTGTGAGTATACTCCACCCATAGCTGTACCCGGTCTCCTTCCTCAGTGTGAGTATACTCCACCCATAGCTGTACCCGGTCTCCTTCCTGGTGTGAGTATACTCCACCCATAGCTGTACCCGGTGTCATTCCTGAGTGTGAGTGTACTCCACCCATAGCTGTACCCGGTGTCCTTCCTGGGTGTGAGTATAGTCCACCCATAGCTGTACCCGGTCTCTACTAGCCTTCCCCAGGAGGTTAGGCATCAGAGGACATGTTTCAGGTGCCGGGTGCCCTGAGATGCTGGGGATGGGCTGTGAGAGGATGCAGTCAGTGATAAGTGTTTTCTTTTTTTGTTTTGCAGGATATCAAGTCCTTGTATGGACATGTGAGTATCCGCTGATCCTCCTGCACACGTGATCCTCCTGCACACGTGATCCTCCTGCACACGTGATGTACTGTATATTGATATTCTCTGTGCTGTGAGGTTAGATTTATTGTCTCTCATATCTGGGGCTCTGGACTCCACCAGGGACAGGATCTGCATGTATATTACAGCACATGGTGTCACTCACACAACTTTCACCAAGTGGACCCAATAAAGTCAAAGGTGTAGATAGACAGACAGACAGACACATTGTACTCACATCTTCCATCGTCCAGCACTTCTACAGGGTGTCTGACTGCGCAGAGTTAGATCCAGCGCACTCAGCAATCAGCACTCAGTAACAGACCTGTAGTTACAGACCCACCAAGAGAGGGACCGTCCAGGAGATTAGAGGAGGGTACCTGAGGCTGCATGGAGACATAGGTGTCATGAGGGTGTGCAGGGCACACTAAAAGCACTGGATGACATAGGATGGACTGGGGGCATTGGGTAACAGGATGTTCTGGGGTCACTGGGAACACAGGATGTTCTGGGGTCACTGGGAACACAGGATGCTCTGGGGTCACTGGGAACACAGGATGCTCTGGGGTCACTGGGAACACAGGATGTTCTGGGGTCACTGGGAACACAGGATGCTCTGGGGTCACTGGGAACACAGGATGCTCTGGGGTCACTGGGAACACAGGATGCTCTGGGGTCACTGGGAACACAGGATGCTCTGGGGTCACTGGGAACACAGGATGCTCTGGGGTCACTGGGCAGGATGCTCTGGGGACGCGGGATGCTCTGGGGTCGCTGGGAAGACGGGATGCTCTGGGGTCGCTGGGAACACGGGATGCTCTGGGGTCAGTGGGTGACACAAGCTGCCAGCTGACACAGAGGACCCAATACACAAGGATACAGGTAATGCACAGCAGCAGGGGGCTCAGCCTAAGTGTAGCAACTCTCTGCTCCATCGCTGAGTCACACGTCACTTTGTAATTTAATCCTGCAGCAATCAGGAGAGTTGAATTCTGATTGGCTGCAGTATTGGTGTGTTGGGTGAAACCCAGAAGTGCTGGTGGCCACATGCCGGAGAGAAGACCCAATGGTTGACTAGGGAGGAGGTGAGTGACACCTAGTCAGACACTCCCCCTCACCTTCTTCTTATGAGGGGTGTGTCTGCTACTCGGCTCTGCCAGCACAGAGCACTGGAGGGAAGGGCAGGAAGCAGCCTTTACGCTTAGAGGAAAAAGGGAGTTGAAGGCATTTCCAAACCAAAGGAAATCCTAAGATGTGGATCTACGGGACTATAAAGAGACAAAAAGGTGCGAGGCCTGAATCTGGCACAGTCAGTGGCAAACTATGGATGATTTGGTGTCAGGAAGGGGAGGGGTGAGGAAAATGGCCACGAGCTTATTATTATTATTATTATACAGGATTTATGGCACCAACAGTTTGCTGAGCGCTACAATATAACGGGAGACAATACAGCAACAATACAGATCCATACAAGAGGGTTAGGAGGGCCCTGATCCTGGGAGCTTACAATCTAAGAGACCAACTCTGGACTGAAACTCAGGTCAACTATAGCAAAGAGCAGCTCTGAAAATACATATAGTATATAGAGGAAAGCATCTGTACAGCGCTGGGGTCATGGCTTCATTTCCATCAGGTGCTCTGCATGGAGTTTGTAGGCTCCTCCATGTCTGTGTGGTTCTCTTCCCACGGTTCTAGTTCTATCGGCAAGCAATCGGCTCCGATTCACATTGGCTCTAGAGAGGGAGAGGGAATGTTTTAGAAATTGTCATCTTCTGTGCAGAATTGTGTGGTGGGAATGTCTGTGTTCTCTGAATTATGGGTTTTATGGGATCCTCTCTCTCCAGATGTTACGGAGGTTACAGAGATGGTTTTCCAGCGCACAACGTGGTGACTCCTCGGGATTTTGGATATGGAGCGGTGAAGGATCTGATCCAGTACACGGCTTGGAAAGATATGAAGTCATACATCAGTCCTGGTGAGCAGCAGGAGAGATCTGTAATGTCATTGGCCTCAATCTCATGGCTATTAGTTTTCAATGCCATCAATCATGTTTGCTTGCTGTCATGTGTGAAGGTGATCTTTAAGGCTGGTGTCAGTCACTGTTCTATCATTCTCAAACATCATACAAAAGAACACATGCCTGGCATCCCTTTATACATGCATCCCTGCTGGCCAGTGTGCAATCTGCTCATCAGTTGTTTGAATACACTTTTAGAGAGTGTACAACAGCAACTGGTTAACAGATTGCACAGTTAAAGCTTGCGGCACCCACTAGCCAGCAGGGAAGAGCATGCATGTCTAATGGGATGCCAAAGATGTGTTCTTTCATATAACGCTGAAGACAGGGTGTTGTGATATTTACAGGAGCCTACCCACCAAACTTGATCTTGCTACAAAGGCCAGCAAAAAGACTCGATGTCACTGGGTCTCAAAAGAGATATTTCTTGAAAATGAATTAATTTGGTTGACACATTTTTATTTCATGTTGATCAATGGGGAGGGGGAGAAGGACTTCCAGTTTTTTAATCTATAAAATTGTCTATGCTCCCAAAGTGTGCAGAACTAGGAAATCAAGCTCTGAGTTCTTACCACCACAGAACCCAGAGAGATACGAGGAACCATTAGGCGGTTGTCTAACTCTCCAGCATCCACCACAAATTAAAGATTTGGGTGGGGTGATCCTTTAAATGTTTGCTAGTGCAGGTAGTCTTGACTGCCCTGATCTTCCAATAACTTGCCCTTTACTTTCTTCCAGCATTACCAAATATAATTATGGATCCCACCACAGCTCACCTTAACCTAGTCCTCTCCGAAGATCTGACCAGCGTGCGGTACAGTGACACCAAGCAGTCCTTGCCAGAAAACCCACGCCGCTTTGACTACTGCTGTTGCGTCCTGGGCACTGAGGGCTTTACCAACGGTCGCCATTACTGGGTGATCGACGTCGGCAACAAGACCAAGTGGAACCTTGGTGTGGCCAAGGAGTCTGTTAACCGACGAGGTGGGATCACTTTGTCCCCTGAGAATGGCTTCTGGATTCTGTGGCTGAGGAACGGGCATGAATTCAAAGCCTTGGATGTCCCCTACCGGGCTCTAACCTTGAGAAGCAAACCACAACGAGTTGGGATATACCTAGACTACGAGGGCGGCGTGCTCTCCTTCTACAATGCTGATGACATGACTCACATCTACACCTTCGTTACCTCCTTCTCCGAGACCATCTTCCCATATTTTTGCCCATGCCTCAATGATTCCGGGAAGAACGGAGGTCCGCTGAAAGTCCTTCATCACATTCCATGACGCGGTGTCAAAGTCAGAAACAAGGGACCAATCTCGTGAACCATTCCATCGCTTTTCAGTGTCCTTTGACAAGTAATCATTATTAGGAACAGGTTCTCAGTCTCCCAAGTATTTTCACTCATCCTCTTCCTCTGCAGGCACATATTGATCTACTATCGGTGTGTTCATTTCAAGGAACTTTCCTCCATTAACTTGGTTTTCCTGGCTCGCCTCTCTATCCTACACTGTACGGTTCCAGCTGTTTGGAACTCTGCTCCGAACTACTCTGAAATGGTTTGTTGCAAGGTCCTTCATACTTATCTGATACTTCACAAGCTCACCCTCACTTTTCTGATATGTCACAAGCTACTGCTCCCTTTTCTAATGTGTCGGAAGCTCCTCCTACCCTCTCATAGGGTGTCTCACAAGCTCCTCCTACTGTCTTTCACATGGGCCTCAGATCATCTTCTGTTCTTGAAGGTCAAAATCCTATCATGCATCATGTTTGAGGAGCTGGCCAGTCGGCGTTTGCTCGTTCTGTTATAGATTTTGAATAGATTTGCAGTCCTGTGCTTCCCAGGCCACAAAGTGAAATTGTTGGGGGAGGAGATGATCTCCGGTGAACTTGGAATTCATATATACATCCAAACAGACAGGGTGAAAGGAGGCAAATTTGTGAGATGTTGAGGAGACATACTGCAAAATTAGGTCAACAGTTACATGAATGATAATGGTCATATGGGTGACGCTCGATCACTGACACAAATGTTCGTACACCAAAGTGGAGTCACCCTTTGAGATGTATTTTTTTTTACCATATCTGGTCAATTCGAAGCATTTGTGTAAGATGTCAAAGAACACAGCCAGTCAACTCACTAGGAACTGGTGACATCCTTGGCTGAAGTTTGCTTCACCATAGAAGGTGCCGGCCTGCCTTGTAGAGGGACATACACTTCATGTACAGGAGCTTGTGCATTGTCATTATCTTACACGCAAATTTCTCAATAAACATTTGATTGGAAGGAAATGTTTGTTACCATTGTTTTACTTTGTCAGCAGTATAGCATGGAAACCAGATCAACCTGAACCGGACCCTTAAAATGAATCCTGACAATCGCCCTAACCTGTAATCAGAGCTGAGCCTCCTGAACCTGATACTAAACCAGAACCCAAACCCTACACCAACCCTGAACCTCAACCTAACCCTAAACCAGAGCCCAAACCTTACACCAACCTAAACCAGAACCCAAACCTTAAAACTAACCCTGAACCTCAACCTAACCCTTAACCAGAGTCCAAACCCTACACCAACCCAAACCCTGAACCTCGACATAACCCTAAACCAGAACCCAACCCCTACACCAACCCTGAACCTCAACCTAACCCTAAACCAGAACCCAAACCCTACACCAACCCTGAACCTCAACCAAACCCTACACCAACCCTGAACCTCTCAACCAAACCCAACACCAACCAACCCTGAACCTCAACTTGACCCTACACCAACCCTGAAGTGACCCTAAACCAGAGTCCAAACCCTACACCAACCCTGAACCTCAACCTGACCCTAAACCAGAGTCCAAACCCTACACCAACCCTGAACCTAAACCAGAGCCCAAACCCTACACCAACCCTGAACCTCAACCTAACCCTAAACCAGAGTCCAAACCCTACACCAACCCTGAACCTCAACCTAACCCTTAACCAGAACCCAAACCCTGAACCTAAACCAGAACCCAAACCTTAAAACCAACCCTGAACCTCAACCTAACCCTAAACCAGAGTCCAAACCCTACACCAACCCAAACCCTGAACCTCGACATAACCCTAAACCAGAACCCAACCCCTACACCAACCCTGAACCTCAACCTAACCCTAAACCAGAACCCAAACCCTACACCAACCCTGAACCTCAACCAAACCCTACACCAACCCTGAACCTCAACTTGACCCTAAACCAGAGTCCAAACCCTACACCAACCCTGAACCTCAACCTGACCCTAAACCAGAGTCCAAACCCTACACCAACCCTGAACCTAAACCAGAACCCAAACCCTACACCAACCCTGAACCTCAACCTAACCCTAAACCAGAGTCCAAACCCTACACCAACCCTGAACCTCAACCTAACCCTTAACCAGAACCCAAACCCTGAACCTAAACCAGAACCCAAACCTTAAAACCATCCCTGAACCTCAACCTAACCCTAAACCAGAGTCCAAACCCTACACCAACCCAAACCCTGAACCTCGACATAACCCTAAACCAGAACCCAAACCCTACACCAACCCTGAACCTCAACCAAACCCTAAACACCAACCCTGAACCTCAACTTGACCCTAAACCAGAGTCCAAACCCTACACCAACCCTGAACCTCAACCTGACCCTAAACCAGAGTCCAAACCCTACACCAACACTGAACCTAAACCAGAGTCCAAACCCTACACCAACCCTGAACCTCAACCTAACCCTAAACCAGAGTCCAAACCCCTACACCAACCCTGAACCTCAACCTAACCCTTAACCAGAACCCAAACCCTGAACCTAAACCAGAACCCAAACCTTAAAACCAACCCTGAACCTCAACCTAACCCTAAACCAGAGTTCAAACCCTACACCAACCCTGAACCTCAACCTAACTCTAAACCAGAGCCCAACCCCTAAACCTGATCCTGCACTTAACCCTAAACTAGAGCCCACCCCCTAAAGGTAACTCTGAACCTAAGCCTAAACCAGTGCCCAACCGCTAAAACTAACCTAACCCTGAGCCAGAGCCCAACCACTAAAGCGAATCCTTAACCTCATCCTAACGCTAAACCAGAGTCCAAACCCTACACCAACCCCGAACCTCAACCTATAATAAACAAGTTCAACCCCTAGCACTAAACTTCGGTGTAGTCCTAAACTAGAACCCAATTCCTAAAGGCTCTCGTTAATAACCATCTGATATGGCGAAATGGTGTGTGCTGCCCTCTACAGGTTTTCTTGTTAATAACGATCCGACATGAGGAAATGGTGTATGATGCCCTCTACAGGTTTTCTTGTTAATATCTGATATCTGAAATATGAGGAAATGTCTTGTGTATGAGGAAATGGTGCCCTCTACAGGTTTTCTTGTTAATAACCATCTGATATGAGGAAATGGTGTATGTCGCCCTCTACAGGTTGTCTTGTTAATAACCATCTGATATGAGGAAATGTTGTATGACGCCCTCTACAGGTTCGCTTGTTAATAAGATGCTTTGTGCAGAGTTACCTACAATGTTGCAAAACATTTCCCCAGTGACCAGACTGTACATTGTAACTTTATAGCAAGTCACACGGTGGGAGACTGCAGCAGGGGGCTGATCTGTTTCAAACATTTGTGAACACAGCCAACCGCTAACCAGATACCAGGATTTACATGATTGTGTCATCTCTGAGCCAGCATATCAAGTAAAGTAGATGGTGACCCTGAATGATGACTGAACAAAGATGGCTCCATCCTTCTGGGGAGTCGGGGAGCACTGTGATCTCTGTGAGAGGTAATAAATACCTGGAAGGGATACAGTGTCACATGACCTGCTATATCAGCATGTTATATTAAAAAAATGAAATCTAATGATTAGTCCACTTTAAGTAATGGTGGCATCTCTTTTCTTGCTGGAGTTGTTTTATAGGATATTGATCTGAAGTATAATGAATAACAAAGTCTCAGGCTGGCTGTGGAACATTGTACTTTGTATTTATTGAATTTCTGTGACATTGAATACACCATCAATAGTCTGGGACTGCTATGAGCTACTCCCGTCCCATCTACAATCCCACATGCTGCACCTCCTCCATGCTACTGTGTCCCATATAGGACTCCCATCACCCCTCCCCCGCCATGTAGTTAGGGACCCTCCTCATCTTCATCTGGCTGGCCCGCAGAGTCTCAGGGAAGTCCACCCAGGTTGACCAGGAAAAAGCAAGCTGAAGCTGTTTTTTTTTGCCGTGTAGCGCCCATTAAGTCCAGCGCCGCCACAGCTCTGTGAATGGTACCAGAAGCCTCCACCCCAGTAGGCCGCGCAGTTCTGGATGTCCTCATCTTGGTCATTGTCATAAGTGGAGAACATGTGACCAATGTGAGCAGTCAAGGCATCGCCTGGGCAATAGAAAGACACAGTCAACATTTCACTATCCCAAGAGTCATGACCCCAACCAAAATTTTTTTTTGTTGTGGATGGAGTGGGGATGGGTTAGCTCTTCTGCCAAGATTTTATTGTTTTAAGGTTTACCAAAAAAGAGAACACCAACGTAAGGTTGGCAGTCCACATGAAGTCACAGTTTTTGTACATAAACAGCCAACTCATTTCAGGGTTCCTAGAGGGCCTTCATCAGGACTACAAAGCAATAAACCATCTCTAAAACAAGGGGGTCTTGATTTATAACTCTACTAAAGAAATTAAAAAAAAATGGAGTCCCACTGTTGTAGATTGACGCCCCTGTGATGACAATTCAGATTTGAGTGTTTCTGAAAAACAATTACAGCTGAGGGTCTAGTGGATTCAGTGTTTGGCAATGACAATACGACCAAGATGGGTTACCTGCTTCACCATCAGTGAGGGCTCCCAGGTGCAGCCTGTATCCATCATTCTCTGGGTTCAGGGCATTGTGGGAAAGGCTAAAGTCACTGTATTGGGCAGAGGCTTTGTTCCCCAGTGAGTCTTCCATCTCCACCTTCAGTTCATACTGTCTGTTCATCGTCAGAAGGTAAATGTTCTGCAACCCTGGTAACAAAATAAAAAAAAAATCAGAGCCCAGAGGATGGTCTATACCAGAACTTTCAAAAATCCCAAGACACCTAGTCTACAATGTAGAACACGTAAATGTTACTTCTCAATGGGAAACCTGAGCCTGGGACAATACACCCAACCTGAGCCTGGGACAATGCACCCAAAACCAATACTCCAAACTGAGCCTGGGACAATACACCCAAACTGAGCCTGGGACAATGCACCCAACCTGAGCCTGGGACAATGCACCCAACCTGAGCCTG